GCCTGCAATCCCAGTACTTTGGGAGGCCGAGGCAGGCGGATCACAAGGTCAGGAGTTCAAGACCAGGCTGACCAACATGGTAAAACCCCGTCTCCACTAAAAATACAAAAATTAGCCAGGTGTGGTGGTGCATGCCTATAATCTAGCTACTCAGGAGGCTGAGGCAGGAGAATCACTTGAACCTGGGAGGCGGAGGTTGCAGTGAGCTGGGATTGTGCCACTGCACTCCAGCCTGTGTGACAGAGTAAGAATCCATCTCAACAACAACAACAAAAAAGTGAGAGCAAGGAGCCCCTCGAAGCCAGCCAGTGTCCTGTGGACAACTAACATTTACATTGATGGAGCTACCACTGAAAGACTGAAAGGAATCAGGGATTCTTGGAGAAATGGGTCTGATGCAGAATATAAGTTGAACCTGGGCATCTTTTTTTTTTTTTTGAGATGGAGTCTCACTCTGTCACCAGCCTGGAGTGCAATGGTGCAATCCCAGCTCACCGCAACCTCTACCTCCTGGGTTCAAGCGATTCTCCTGCCTCAGCCTCTCGAGTAGCTGGGACTCCAGGTGTGTGCCACCACACCCAGCTAATTTTTTGTATTTTTAGTAGAGACGGGGTTTCGTCATGTTGGTCAGGATGGTCTAAATCTATTGACCTCATGATCTGCCTGCCTCAGCCTCCCAAAGTGCTGGGATTACAGGCATGAGCCACCACACCAGGCTGAACCTGGGGTTTCTTATCATACAAGATAGCAAAGAAACTATCACAGACCAAAAGGGGGCTGGGCACAATGGCTCACGCCTGTAATCCCAGCATTTTGGGAGGCTGGGGCGGGCGGATCACGAGGTCAGGAGTTCAAGATTAGCCTGGCCAACATAGTGAAACCCCATTTCTACTAAAAACACAAAAATTAGCTGGGTGTTATGGTGAGCCGAGATCATGCCACTGCTCTCCAGCCTGGGCAACAGAGACTGTCTCAAAAACAAACAAACAAAGGGTCATACCAGAAGGACCCAGGAACCAACATGAAGTGACTCACTGAGGCAGATTTTCCAAAGGAAAAACACAGCAATACCTCCTCTCCCACAATTCTCTGCTATGTGACCTTGCCACTCCCCTATCAAAAAATGGTGTCTCTTCTTCCAGCTCCTTGAATTTGGGCAGACCCTATTACTACATGGGTTAATAGAATACGGTGGAAGTGACACTATACCAGTCCCAGGCATAACCTTTGGGTGGCCTGCCAGTTTCTGCTTCCCGCCCCTTAGAATGCTTATTCTTAGGATGGTCCCTCTAGGATCCTAACAGTCATGCTGTGAGAAGCCAAATGTGCATAAATTTTTTTTTTTTTAGATGGAGTCCTGTTCTGTCACCCAGGCTGGAGTGCAGTGGCGAGATGTCGGCTCACTGCAACCTCTGCTTCCTGGGTTCAGGAGATTCTCCTGCTTCAGCCTCCCAGAGTAGATTACAGGTGTGCACCACCACATCTGACTAATTTTTGTATTTTTTAGTAGAGATGGGGTTTCACCATGTTGGTCAGGCTGGTCCCGAACTCCTGACCTCATGATCCGCCCGCCTTGGCCTCCCAAAGTGTTGGGATTACAGGCGTGAGCCACCACACCTGGCCCAAAAATTTTTTTTAAATCAGTTATCACTGGAGGATGCCAGACAACCAGTTTTTAAAAACTGGTAAATAATCAAGAAAGAGAAAGAATCAAGCTTTTATCCTGCCTTTCCTATATAAACTATAGCTCTGAGTAATTGAACAGAAAATGAGAGGATGTATCTCTTTTCAGAAATACTCAAGCTAATGAACAAAAAATGAATGATACTATTAGAAAATCAGGCATGGTACACTGGCTCATACCTGTAATTCCAGATCTTTGGGAGGCCGAGGCAGGAGGATCATTTGAAGCCAGGGTTTGAGGCTAAGAGTTTGAGACTAACCTAGGCAACAGAGTAGGGCTCCCATCTCTATTTCTTTTTCTTTCTTTTTTTTTTTTTCCTTA